TTGCAAGTCACAAGTATAGTTAATAATTATGTCACTTGAAGGTGTTTTCACATTCAAATTTGTGGAACTGAGTTAGGTAGGTCAAATCATGCATACAACTTTTTATATGTGCCCAAAAGTTTTCTAGGATTGAGGCCATGCCAACACATTGCCTTTGCTCTTGTAAGCCACTTTTGAACCACTGGGTTGAATGCTTAGGATCATCGTTCATTTGGAAGACCAATCTGCTGGCAAACTTTACCTTTCTGATGTTTTTAGATGCTGCTTCAATATTTCTACATATTGGCACGCTTGATTTTTCCAACTGGTGAACAATATAGAACATGTCTGTTCTGTTCTATGAAAGCCTTTAGGCTGGAGTTTGCACAATCAGTCTTATTCCCAGCTTTCACAAACACTCTTGAGACCGTGTTCAGCAGAACCAAGCTTTCTTTAGGTCTGGAGGAAACAGGATTCGTCTAACTCGATGCCAGAATGACTGAAGGCAGGGAGCTGGAGGGAGGTGCTGACAAAAGCGCACAGATCTAAAGTTTGTTCTTGTCGGTGTGATTCAGCCAAAGTGTGGGTTCTGGAGAACTGAGCTACGAAATGCGAAGCCCTCGCCTTCACTAAAACCATCCAAATCAGCTACAAGATGATTTAAAAAAAACAAAACAAACTGGCTGTTGAAGAAGCTTAAAAAGAAGCCTGAGGTCATCAAAACACAAATGGACCCTGGAGATCAGTGTTAAGACTGAAAGCACCAAAATACTCCCCAGGGGATTCATGCTTACAGAACCAGGGGCAGCAAGAAAAGTCACTGAAGACAATTAAAGATGGAATAAAACTTATTCTCCCTCAAGTAGAAATCCTTGTTTTTCTGCATAACTGTTATGAATATCAAGGATTTTGGTTGGAAGCCCTTCAAGGTGTTTTGGTTTCTTGCTAAGATCCCTTTTGAAATCCAGCATTTTTGCAGCTTCTTAGTGTGTCAGTTTAGCTCATGTTTCTGCTGTGCATATTTTAATCTGGAGAGACTCAGACAGACAAAAACAGCGATTAAAAAGTTTATTAACATCAGTGAATTAAAGTTCTTTGGTGCTCGGACCCGGACGGAAGGTACTTTCCCCCCGGTGGTTCAGGTCAGAGAAGGGATGGAGGCCTGAAGAGCCAGGAGGATGGAGGTGGAGAAGGGTGGAGGTGGAGAAGGGTGGAGGTGGAGACGGGTGGAGGTGGGTAGAGCAAAGCGGACGATGCCATGAATGAAGGTTCATATAAACGGAAGCTTGATCGATGATTGGCTGAGACGGGGCATGGTCCGACGCTGAGGGTCTGGCGGCGGATGAACGTGATGCGGCGATTGGATGATGCAAGTGAGTGAAACCTTTGGAACTTTAGTTCAGAAAGAAAAGCTTTAGTGCAGTGGTTAGAGCGGGTGAGGCTATAGACCTCGACAAGGCCGTTCTGAGTTCGACTCCCGAACTCGGTTTCTTTGCCACATGTCTTTCCCCACTTCCTGTCAGATTACTGTGGAGTGAAGGCCACTAGTGCCACAGAAATTCATTTAAGAAATGCCTCTAAGTTTCAAAAGTACGCAGCAAGAAGAAGGCATTGAAAGGCTTCAAGGTGAAGAATAATCAGAGCTGAAAGAGGATCAGAGAGTGGAGTATGGAGGGTTGAGTTCAGCTTCTCTTTCATGCCTTGCTGACAACAGTTACATCCAAGCGGCCCCCACAGCTTGCATCACACATCTCACTCAACTCCACTCACACCCACCAAGGACTTTCACAGAATCCCACTAGCAACACCCACATCCACTCAGCACCCCAGCGATCACCACTCCCTACATTTGATCATCTATGCAGTCAGCATTAAAGACTGAGTGGTGAAACCTTTGGCGACACCTCAAAAGGCTGGATAACAGTGATCTCAGTAATAGGTGTGTCTTCATTTCTGAAATTGCAACTTTCAGTTTCTGAAGTGCTTTAAATGGGATTGTTTACTTGTGTAGGGAGAGGAAGGATGGTCAGAACTTGTGAGGACAGAGGTGGACTTAATTGAAAGCCCTGAGTTCAAAGGTCCCATAGTTCAGGCCTAAGTCTAATTTACAATCTGTGGCAAGACTTAATTAAATATCGGTAGTTGTTATTCCATTATAAATGTATGAAATACTTTGCTGATATTATGCTGAATGTTGAAAAAACACAATTTTGCAATTGCTGTGTTTCCAAAAACTAAGAAACGCAATTAAAATCACACTTGAGTAAGTTTGTTCAAGCAATAAGTCCTTAAAAAAACAGGCCTTGCTATCATCATCCTCCAACATTCAGCTGTAAATCACAACTGGTATGATGTGAAAAAGGTGTTTCCATTGCAGTATACCTATTTCTACTATTTCTACTAAAGGGAGATGAAAACATGTTTGCCCAATAAGTTCTGATGTAGCAAACTTTATCGTCCACTGTTGGGTCTGTACCTTACCAGAGAAACTAAAGTTCCTCTGGGACATTTCTAGTCCCTCGGGCTTGGACTAGAAATGGAGGAGAGGATTCTCTCCATTTTTATGAGATGTGTGGTCCATGCTAGTTTCCAACCTCTACTTTTTATTGTTTATTAGAGCATTGCTTTCGTCAGCAGTTGACATAAATGTACATGTTGCTTAGCCTGGTCGATTGTTCTAAATCAATAGATGAAAACATGAATTATTCGCTTTACTGTTTTGCAACATTTTAAAAGTTTGCTCAAAAGCCACATGACAATTGGATGACAAACATAGATAAAGTCTGTTCACAGATCACCAGTCTGATTGAGCTTAGGCTATTCTGAGCGAAAGAACAGGCAAAAGCTGGAAGAGACCAACTGATAGACTTCCAGCTGCATCTGCAGTGAAAGGTGGTTCTGCCGCATTAATACAGTGGGGGCTGAATAAAGGCAAGTTGTACCAAACCTTCAACTCCCTGTTTAAGTGTGTGGGTGAATAAAAAAAAACCACAACCTTTCTTTCATGCTGCTGTATCTACATGGTTCTGACCAGGAGCGCCGCCTGCAGGATATTATCAGAGGGTGCACTTGACCCACACAAGCACAACCACATCATGTGCATGAGGCACAAAACCAGCACAAACCTAAACCTCACAAATACAGCCACATGTGCATAATGCGCTTGGCCCACAAGCACAGTGGATTTAATCAGCTTTTATATGCAGATGTTGGAATGGAGCAATTGAAGCAACAATGTTTGCTAGACTTGTTGTTTCTTTGGCAAAGTTTCAACTACATTTAATTGTTTAACCCTCCTGCAGTCTTAGTGCGACGCTCAGCAAGAATTGTCAGTCAACCAGGTGACTGAGCTGCATCTTTAACACAGAGTAACCGCATAGTGACATGACTACTTCTGTAACTGGCCCGCATTTGGGATAGAAACCAGGTATGGCATACCGTCACTGGTCCAGGTGTGGCATGCTTCATGTGAACCGGGCCATCACTGCCAGATCTGGCCCGAGTCTGGTTGACATCCAATTTGCCATACCAGAGGTTTGGCAGATGTGACCGGGACAGGTCGGTCTGCAATGTGGGAGGAGGTCTTTGCAACATCATATTTAGCTTAAAGAAAGAGCATCACGCAAATCAACAAAAGTAATCTGACCAATAACATTTAAGCTTCGAACCAATATGTGCCCACCTCCATAGACTCACACAGATCTGCTACATACAAGACATTCTGACACAAAATACATGTTTCCTCCACAATTTTGTATTAAGAGAGTAATATTTTCATTTAATCAGATATTGCATCATATACTAAGATGTAATATCTCGGGGGCAATTTCAGGTTAGGCGGTTTGTGATTGTTTGTTATATGGTGGTTATCAGCCATAAAGAGTTAGAGAAAAAAAATGACTTATAGCAAGGATTGTTAGATAGTAAAAAATCAAACATATATATTTTTCTTTTACTTATAGAAAAATCTAAAGGTAGGCACAGTGTGCACAGCTGCAGGCACTGCTGGTGCAGGCAAATGCTGGGGGGAAAAAACACCAGAGCAAATTGAAAAGGTGGCACATCCTCAGTTCAGACTTCCCAAGTGTCCCAGAGGGCTTGATAGGAAGCACTAGAGGAGGCGTGTTTACAAAAAACGAAACAAAAGAGATCCCTGTAGCCCAATGACTCCAGCACCAAGCAGGGAAATAAGCTGCACTCCAGATTTTTCATTTCCAGACCGGCTGAGATCTAACATGATTTACCTACAACTTACTAAATTAAAAACAAATCAGATTAAAAACCTCATTAAGAAGCAAACATTTACACCATTAATCACAAGATAAAACTTCTGGCTCTCCCCAAAACAGTGAATTATGTTTTTTAATTTAAAATGATAAAACTTCCAAAGGGGCAGTATTGTGTTTTCCAGACAGTGATTTTATAGCACAATCAACAATCATGTAACTGTTACCTTGAAATTGGGCCTTTCTCTAAGAAACTCCTGCTCTTTCTGAAGCTCTGCCTTCAGTACATAATCACGTCGCTCCATTAACACTTTAACATTTTTACCAGTGTTTAGAAGTAGTTCATTTTATGAGCTCAGCAAATGCATTGTTTTATCAGATGTTAGCTTATTTCTGCTGGCTAGTCTGAAGGGGCCTTGAAGGCGCAGCCAGGTCCCACTATAGCTGAATTAAAGGATTTCTCACATGGATCAAATAATCAAATCAGGACTGCAGGTGTCTTTTGGATGAAGTAATAGAAACATGATGTAAAGGTCTAAAAGTTAATTTTACACTGTTGTGCTCCTTTAAAACAAGAAGTCGATTAAATTAAAATGTAACCAGTAAATACTACAGGCTGTAATCGAGCTCATTTGGGTTTATCGTGACCCAGCAGCTTGGGAACCCATGCTGGGACGTCTTTGCTTTTCATGGATTTTGTTTGAAACTCCACTGAATGGATCAGACGTCAGATTTCTGTCTTGGCAGATTAAACTTGGGTTTTGCTCATCCAATCAAATGACAGACTCACCAAAGCAGATTTTCTATGTGTTTTGTTTAATCAGAAATCATCGGCTTACAAAAATTCAGGTTGATGAGACTCTGATTCAGTGGACGTTGCATCTGACTAAGAAATAAAATCAGGAAGAAGAACCTGGCAGCTCTGGGCTTGAGGTTGCTGTGTGCGGCTTCTGACGTGGGTGGAGGAAATATTTTTATTTATGTTTGCAGTTTTTTTCTCCTCTATGCACGCGGCTCTGGACGCGCCTGCTGGCAGAGCTGCCGTCTCAGGATCTCTGCGATGAAACCATCTGCGGCTTCACTTGTTTTCCCCCTGCATGCGTCATCGCCATGGTGACCCATGAAGGCTTGTCACAGCTACTTGTCTTCAGAGCTCCTGGCGACCGTTCATCTGCCCGTCTGTTCTACATTCGCTGTGTCTGATGAGCGTCCCCCTGCAGAAGCTTCTTCTGTTTTCTTTTCATTCCTACAGGCGTCCGGGGGGAGGCGGGGGGGGGTGTGGGGGGGCTGCATCCCGGGAGGGAGGGGGAGGGGGGGCCGGATCCCGGGGGGAGGCATCGTCATGGAGATCTGGTGTTCAACACCTTAACAGTCTTGCGGCCGTAATGCCAGTAGCTGTAGCCTGATGCTGTTGTGGTCACAGCTGTAATATACCTGCAGAATCAGAAAGCAGATAGTTTCACTTGACATGACAGTTTTCGTTTGGCTACATTAGTTTTTCAAATCAAAAGCTCAAATGATAGAGGATTCATTAATAAACGCCTGTTATACCTGGTACACTACTGCCCCTAGTGGTAGTGCCAGAAAAAAAACATTGTTATAGATTGAAGTGGGAAACAAAATGTTAGATTTTTTTTTATGGAAAAAACAACAACATTTTGATACTGAATAAACTTAAATTAAATTACTTCCCCCACAAAGCTGCAACCTTAATTATATTTTACTCCAAATCAGCCTGAATCTCTACAGCACCAACCAAAAATAGTTCTCAGTTCTCTCCATAATAGTCATTATTTTTATATTTTTGCCTCTGTATTTATGTGGTGTGGCGACATTTGCCACTTAAGACCCACAAAAAAACTCAATGAACATCTGGGAACATCTGCACAGTTCCAGACATCATGAAGACGCATGATGCCGCATCAAATTGATTAAGATCAGGTCCTGCAATATTCTAAAAATTATGTTATTAAAATTTTCAAAATAATACAGAACATATCAGAAGATATCAGCTTCAAGAGGAAAGTTTAAACGTTTGTGGTTCTGAGAAAAATAATACTTATTTAAAAGTATATGCTACTATGTAACATAAATGCTTACAGTAATTTAGATTTTTTTTCCAGCTCCCTATTTGGTCTGAGTCAAAGTGATTTGATTATTTGAGCCCGCCACAGAACGAGTTGTTTCTGCTCATTTGTTGCTGGTTTTAGTAGAAAAAAGGGAGGAGAGGATAAAAATTGTTTACCATAAACACTGCAGCAGGACGCTGTCTGTATAGTGGAAGACTGGAGCAGCCAGAGAGGTGGCAACCAGGAACAGCTGGATGGCCGTGTTCACCTGAACAAACAGTTATACACATTTTCAGTCAAGGTCATCTTTATGAAGAAGAAATGAAATATTTGTTCCAGATTCAGCAACATTTTTAGCTTTCCGTAAACAAGAAGGAAAACAGAGTGAACACAGTTTCAGAGTTAATGGAGCTCATGGTGTTTTTTCTCAGATAGAAAGGTTTAACAGTAGCTCTCACCTTACTGAAGAGTGTGGGTTTCAGCTGGGCTGTAGTGTAGCAAGGGTTAAAAAACTTACTGAGGGTCACCTGGACAACACAAGAGAAAAAAAAGTATAAGGCGTGTAAGGGCCATTGGAGATGAAAAAAAAAGGGAGTAAAAAAAACTCATATTTTGAAATTCATCGGAGTATTTTCTAAACAAACAAAAAAGGACATTTTGAAGTTTGAAAAGTTGAAAACCTACAAAAAGTACAATTTTGAGATTAATCTCAAAAGTCAAAATTTCCACAATTTTTCTAGATCACTTCTGAAATTATTCTCAAAATTGAAGCCTTTCTAGGAAGTTTTTGAGTTTTAAAACTTAGAATTTTCTTTGCTTTTTCTAGAAGTTTTCTGAGTTTAATATCAACATTTCATTTTTTTTTTCTAGCAAATTTGACTTTGGAAACTCAGAAATTTACTTTCTTGAAAATGTCTGAAGTTTTGTCTTTTTATTTAGACATTTGGAGCTCTGAAATTTCCCAATATTTTCTAGAAAATGTCTGAGATCATTCTCAAAAGTTTTATTGGTGTAAATATACTCTTTTTTTGTCTACAATGGTTCTAATACACATCAAAAGTAAGTACATCAATCAGTATAATTCAAACTAGCTGAAACTGTTGATTTTCCATATGAACAGTGACAGAAAAGCACAGGAGCGTTTGACAGAACAGTTTGCCAGAACCAGCCCTCCTGTTCTCAGCGGTTCTCACCGGTGGAGGAACAGTCTTGTATCTGACCCAGAAGACGGCGGCTATCAAACCAATGTCTCGAAAAATCACGAGAGCTGTCAGCGGAGCTGAAACAAAACACAGCCGGTTAGATTTGCTGCGGCTCTCACACAGATTCATGGACTGTTAGTGAATGACAGCGTGAGACAGAGAGCAGAGCCGAGGCCCGCTGGCTGTAATACCTGGGATAAGTTCGGCGTAGGTGAGACTCACATATAAAACACTGATGAGGATCTTGTCGGCCAGCGGATCCAGAGCGCTGCCCAGGGCCGACTTCTGAGTGGGCCACGTTCTGGCAATGAAGCCGTCCAGCTGGAGGAGACAAGAGGACAAAGAGGGGACACGGAGACAGACTTCAGGGTTCTGACTGGCCAAACAAATCTACACACTGCATGTTGTCAGACGGGTTCTGTTTGAATGATTTCTTCATCACAACTCCTGGCAGTAATTAGACCTGAATTCACTTTTTTGGGGGGTTAATTCTTCTTTTTCTACTTTTCTCATCCCTGTTGTTGGACGTTTATTCTCTCTGGTTTTGGATGGTGTGGAGCTGGAAGGGCTTTTGTTCTTAATTTTTATTTTGAGATAGTAACAGAGATTTAAAGAGAAGCAGCAACAGTAAACAAATGAGATTTAGTCAGTCCCTCCATGATGTTGTGATGTTTTTTGTGTGTGATTATTGTAACCGAGAAGGACTGATTTTGCAGCACTTTTTTCAAAAATTTGCTAATTCTTTAAGCTTTATTTTGTCATAATGTGGTCTTTAAAAAAAAACAAACTGAAATGATTCTTTCTCTCTTTCACCCTCCCTACCAGCTTCACTGTCCTGCTGCTGCATCTGGTCTAATGTCTCCTCTCCAACTCTGCTCTATTGTGACAAAGATTTATTTTAAAAACATGGAAAGCAACAAGTAGCGTAACTTCTGTGCAGAAATTAATTCTCAACATTAACAAACTAGCAAGCAATGTAAAATAGGCAACAACCTTACTATTCCTGTTACAGGCTCATTATGACAAACTGACATGGATTAACTAATTATTATTTAGCTAACAGTAATTGTATGCAGCACCACTCCACAAGTGAAACCAGTCGGTATGTGTACGGTCATGATGCGTTTAAAGACGGCTTGGAAAAATTCGTTGCATCTTGACAACTGATTAAAAAGTTGGAATGGCTTATAAGAAATAGAAGAATAAGAAAATCCTGCAATATAACTGAAAATGTTTGAAAAAGAAAAAAACAGGGCAAATGTTACTGTGTAGCATCACACACACTTTCAACTTTAAAGATGTCATAAAACAGGAAGTCAAATCAGAAAGAAGCCAAGAATTCAGCCGAGTTGCAGTGATTGGATGAAACACAGAAAACATTAAGATGAAAAGCTGAGATGACTGGTGAAAACTCCCAGTTGCCAAAACTTCAAAACTACTGAATGGATTTGTGTACTTCCTTCAGGGACAGATTAGCATAGCTAGCTAACAACTGATGATGTCATCTAGGACATGTTGGTGTTGAATATCATCTCTGCTTCCTGAATATTGAGCTGTTATCATTTTGTAACGGCCATGAGGTTATCATACAGTAACAACCTTCAGGAAAGACTTATTTAGCGAGACTGGCTGCTACTGGAAATCCTTCCTGCCCAAAGCATCACCACCCACAAAGACTCTCTGAATTAACTTGAATGATTTGAATTAATATTTAATTTTCCTTTGGGATAAATGAAATATTTTCTAATTGAACTGAAACATTAAAGTACGACAAAAATAGTCAAAAACCAGCAATTGGCATAAATGAGACAAATGAGTAAAAAGACAAACTATGAAAAGCTGAGAGTGTTACCAGGTCAGTGGCTCCTGCCAAAGTAAACAGAACCAGGCTGAGGTCAAAATGCTGCTGGGTGATCAGATAACCCAGATATGGAGCCAGCAGAATCCGACACACACACAGCAGGTTGGGGACCGTCCACGGGTTCTCATACTGTAGAGAGAGGAAGAGGTGACAAACAGGTTACAGATGGAAGTTAACAAAAACAAACGAAAAAAAAGATCAAAGTTCTTCCTGGAGCAAATCTCATCTGTCCGCTTATCTATGGTGACTTATCCATGGGTTGTGGAGGGAACAGATCATCTTTATCATTTTCTGTTACACAGTTTAAAATTATTATTTTTTTTAAAATCAAGGTTGTTTTAACGTGAGGAAAAGATGTTTAAAGGGGCAAGTTAATGTCACAAACACGAAATATAACTGCTGAAAACTAAAAACTTTAACGTCAGTAGAACTACCAGTGGACTGTTAAAACGCAGAGTAAAAAGTTCAGACTCAGCACATTTGACATGCATGTGAAGGGGAGACAGTACTTGGCCCACCTTCATACAAGACCAAAAACACAACCTAACTGACAGAAGTCTTTGTCTGCCTATGAAACTGATCTACCTCTGCAAAGGTCTATTAATCAGACGCTATTGTGCTTAATTTAGCAACTTCTCGGACAAAAAAATAATTCAAGACATTGATATCAGCAGATCAGGATTTTTAAAGTGAAACTGCAATTGACACACCTCCTAATTATCACTTGAAAATATTTGCTGCTCTGCCTACAAAGAGAAAAGTCAAAATTTTTCATAAGTTTTTCTTTAGATTGTTCTGTTAAACCATATGAGATGTTGGTGGCAGCTGACCTTTAACCCCATTTTTTACAGAAACATGAACTCTCGATTTACCTAGAATTTTAAGCAACAAACCGAAGGGTTTGTTGATCTCAAATCTAGCTTAAGATCAGAGACAGGCTGTCAAACAGGAATCAAGCTCCACAAGTTTCCAGATTATTGTGACTTTAAAATGTCTCACTGCAGTCAGTCAAAGAAAATCTGTTGTGAACAAATATCGATAAACGAAGATGTTAAAATAATCAATAAAACAATGAAAAGGACAACAGTAGACTAAACCAGAATGACTTCCACTCCAACACCTGGGGTCTGAAGAATTCGATGGATGAAATCTGCTCTGTTGTCCGTAATTCTTTCTGAAAGGTCATGATGAGGAGATCAGAACATTCAGCTTCAGATCTGCAGTTCTTCTGAGGATTCTCTTCCAGAGAGGAGTCTGCACTCAGTGCGTTTCAAGGGTGGTTTATAAGTCAAGCCTATCTGGAGATCTTTTTACAATAGACATGATCTGGGCTGAAAGGCGACAGATATACGCTACGAGCAAGGTCAAGTTCTCCAAAACAATCCAGGTCAACAGATTGTTTTATCACGAAGCCACACAATCTGAGAAAGAAATTGTTTTTGTGCTGTGGGAGGAAGCCGGAGTATCTGGAGTGACCCATGAACAGAAGGGGGGTGCATGCAAACTCCACATAGACAGCAGGCTTGCACTGGTCTTCTGGCCGAAACTGAATCTTTTTGGTTTGAAATGTTGCTAAATAAAACAAGAAAGACTGTCAAACCCTGAGAACAATCCAGACCTTGTCATAAGGAACATGATTCTCAGAATTGTACTTTCAGTACATCCTGGGTCATATTTTCACAACAAAAAAAATTGTTGTTTCTCTAAAAGCATATTTTTGCCAATATGCTGATTAGTTCAAATATTCTGCCATGACTCCATGCAATTAGCTGAAAAACTTTTTAAACTACTCTGAATAATGAATTACTGTAGTGTTTGATAGGATCAGTTTGAATGTATGTGATTGGATACATGTTTTGATTGACTTAAAACAGTTGTTGTAAATTGGTGCTTTATAAATAAATTGGATTGGATTATGATGCTGTCTATTTCTGCTGTGGGAAAATAAACTGATGCATATACGCCTAAACTTACGTCCGCTATATTTTGTTGTTCTACAAGTATAGTACCTGATTAAATTATTAATACAGTAAATACAAGAACTATAATATTAGCATCACTATGCCACCTTTCCATTTTTAGTGACCTTGGTTGAACTGTTCTTGCTGTCCGTGTGGGAAGCTGCAGCCCTCTGACAAGTGGGAGGGTGGACAGCCATGGCTGCCTCTGTCCCGTTTGGACTCACCAGTTCTTTGAATTTGAACAGTCCTTGTCCCGGCACTGTGGACCTGTCAGACGCCTCTTCTGTCTTCCTGCTGCAAAGTCCACGAACTCTGGGGAGGAACAGCGGTCTCAAAACGGCCGCTGACCTTTCAAGACCTCTTCGGTGCACGAGCATGGACCCCTCCGTGAGTCCAAACGTTTTCACTCGCTGGACGCTCGAGCGCGAACCCCGGAAGTCCATCCATTTGAGTTTGAAGAGCCACGAGCCACTAAGCCGAGGCCGTGTGAGCCTCACGCTCACCGTGGCAGGTGGCTGTCCGAGCCGCCATATTGGGGCCGCAAGCCGACACACACCCGGGCAGCGCTCAGGGACGCTCGCTGCCTTGAGAAACAGTGAAGCGGAAAGCCGGGTCAAACACGTCGTAATCATCTTCGAGAGACTCGCATTACTGACCGGCTGCCCGTGTGTCGTTTCCTCGCGTGCTCATCGTGGGCTACCGATCCTGACGGCAACCCTGCGAGGGCAGCAAGGCTGCCATCTTACCGGAAATACATACGGCACCTATGTTTTACGACAAGATGCCGTAAAACAGATGGGTTTCAAAATAGTTTGAGAAAAAGTTCCTTTATTCTGCTCAATCTGAGATTGTATTATAATGCGTCTATAGACTTAATATTTACAAATAAAGATTCCAAAATAAAAATATTTCTAGTAAAGAACATATGTAAACCATAAGATTAGCAATTTTTAAAAGATGAAAGTATTTAAAAACACATTTTAAAATAAGACTTTAATGAAACGATCGACAGAAACAAACAAGAATAATTCATTTACAACAGAATTTGCACAAACAGTAGTATTACATTTTTTACACATTTATCTACATAAAGAGAACATTCATTTTTGAAAACAATTATAGTGAAATTAAATAAAGCCTGCAAAGAATTAGCATATTCACGCACTTTAGCTGGTATGTAAACAATAGCTACTAGTATTTCTGTCAAATGCAGCAGTAGACATCCAGAAAGAAGCACTTTAGGGGTTTTTGGCTGGATTTACTCCCTTATTTTCTCCTGATGTCAGCATTCCCTCTACTCGTTTAAGAATATTATTCAAACAGGTTTTCTTGTATTTTTTGCATTTTTAGAAATAACTCAACAAACAGTGTGTTGTGCAGGAGTGTTCAGCAATCACATGGTCTGAAGTTGGTACAACTTGGGTCCTTTCTTAAGCAGGAAGCCCTGTTCATTGAGGGAACTCAAAAGACCTTGAAAATCCATCACCTGGAAGGAATCAACAGTTATTATTAGAACTGGCATTGTAGAGAATGTTCTAACTTTACTCACCCAATAATAATTATACAAATGATGAGCATGTCTATGTTTAACTTTTTTTGGGTCAAGAGTTTTTACCTTTATGTTCATTTTGTCAGCTACAGATCGAATCGTCTGCAGGTCGAACTGCTTCTGATTGGTCCTCTGAGCGTGAGAGTGGAGGGCGCTGACCAGTCGCTTTGCGGCGCCTCGCTGACTCATGCCAGAGCCGAGCTGAGAACGTTCAAAGTCCAGATTTCCCAGGCCGTCTGAATATGTGTCAGCCAGACTTCAAATGGAAACAAAAGATGTTTACGTCGCAGAACACAATACAACAAGACAGGCCCTGACCGCTAGAAACAAGCAGATGTTTACACTACCTTGTTTAGAATAGAAAAAAAGAAAGAAAAAACAATAAATCATTCACATGAAAATTATTGAGTTTGTTTTCATTTATCATTCAATTTATTGATTTATTGCTTATTGCGGCAGGCCTACAGTGGTATGATACCTCAATAAAAAAAGGTTCAATGGCTATCAATACTTTTGGAAAGCACTGTTTAGGGTTAGTACAGTGAGGAACTTCATTAATTTGGTGAAACAGTAAGATACAAATAAGTCTCTTTTCATTTGCTGACATTGCTGCAGAGTTACCTGTGTTTCATTATCTCCACCACATCTTCAGCATCACTTTGTGTCGCCAGTTCTCTGAGCTCCAATTTGGCTCTTGCCTGGAGAAAACCAAACAGTCACCAGAAAAGAAGATCAGACCTTCAGCACTCACTAAATACCTCAGCCCAAACCAACCCACCTCGGTAAGTCTGATTAAGGACTCCAGCTGCCGTGTGGTGATGGGCGTGGCGTCTGCCGAGTGTGATTGGGATCTCAGAGATAGGTAGAAATCCTGAAGGGTTTTTGCCGCTTCAGGAGACAGCGTGGGTCGGACATACTGACGGGCGTAACTGATGTACTTCCTCAACAGGCATGTTGGAATCACATCGACCAATTCATTTGCTGGAAACTGGAGACAACAGGTGGGATCAGTAAAACAGGTTGTGCAAACGCCAAGGAACGCTTCAGTTTCAGTAGACCTCTCTACTTTAACGTTTAGTGTTAGAGTTGCTAACTATGAGATAAAGAGTCTGATAGAGTTCATCCTAACATTACAGTCAGCTGATACTCTGGTGCCAGCTTATATCATACTCTTGTGTTGAACATAAACAGAGAAGTTAGGATAAGAATGAAGGAAAACAAATCGCCATGTCAACAGGGCAAGATTGTAACTCAGAAACATGATTTAAATAGTAAATAGTACATGTTGAAATGAGATCTTCTTGGAGCAAAGGAAAACTTTAAAAGAATGTAAAACAGGCTTGTCTAAATATAAAACAGAGTTCACATTTTAAACTGTAGGCACCTTCGATAGAAGGTGTGATTTCCACTGCATTCCCTTGTAGTGCTTGAGCAAGTAAAACTGCTAAGGGACAATCATCTGCCCTACAAGGTCACTGATATTTCAAACCTAGCCTGTGCCATAACAGATAATATTATTAGCTGCATTTATATTGACTATAGAATTACACAATTTGACATTACGAAAATAATGCCACTTAATAGAAAACACGACAATTTTGAAAAAAAAAAAAAGATAAAGAAAGTTTTGGCACTAAGGTGAGGTGGTATATTTAGCTATACCAAAATTAATTAATTTTGCAAAACTGCAATGGAAACATAGTTATATATTTAAATTGTAACTGCTGTGCCTATTTTGGGAGCAAAAACAGTCAACAAGTGTTTATAATTGCTGGCAATGAGTATTTTAAATCACTGTGGATAAATTTTGGCCTCAGAAAATTGTTTTAGTTCAACTACATTGAATGGTGTTTGAGCATTAGCAATCTGTTTAAGGTCTTGTTGCTGCATCTCTATCATATTTAGGCCCAGTTTTTGACTAGGCCACTCCAAAGCCTTCAACTAAGCTTTTTTTGGAGCCTTTCAGAACTGGACTTTTAGGTCTTTGTTCCATTGCCTCCCCCTAGAGCACCTGAGCTTCGTTACAACTTGGTGGCCAGATGTTCTCATTCAGGACTGTCTGTTTTCTGGGTTCAGAACCAGTTTTACCTGCAGTCGCTCAGACAGTGGCATGGCTGCATGCTGCAGCAGGATGGAAGTCGCTGGGTCATTACTTATTCTGGTCACCGTGGCGCTGCTGGTTCTGCCTTTCCCTGCCCTGTTGGCCATGATGTGCTCGGACAGCCGGCGGTCATGTGACTCATCTGGGATGTCCAGAAGAAGGAAGACAACATCGAAGCGGGAAAGGAGGGCGGAGCCCATTCTATGGACACACCAGAAGGAAATTAAAGCCAACATCCTCCTGAAGCTGGAAGTTACTAGAGGTGAAAACTCACTTTAGATTTTCAGAGACAGTCTTCCCTCTGTTGTAGTGGCCTCCGACGGGGTTAGCAGCAGCAACAACAGACGTTCTAGCAGGCAGAGAGGAGACGATGCCGGCCTTAGCCAGACTCACCGACTGTTGCTCCATGGCTTCCAGCAGAGCCTGCTGCTGGCTTCCCAGCTTGTCAAACTCATCAATGCAACAAAGGCCTGGAAGTACAGGAAGCAGGAAAACAGGAAGTCAGTCTGACACAAAAGGTACCAAAAAACAACAGGCAACATGGACTTCAAATTGTATCATTTGAAATCCACTTCGAATGTATTTATTAAATTCACAATCGCATTTTTGCAATACATCCGTTTATGCAAGCAGTCTGCTTAAAAACCTCCACAAATATTAGTCTTGAAATAAACTTATCTAAAGTCCATTGGTGAAATTGTCACTGCTAAACCGCACAATTATTTAATTAAGTCATATTTTCAAATACATTGATGTTTGTACCCAGCAGTGAAAAAATAATGAAAAAAAAAATCAATATGGAAAATTAATAACGCTGTTAGTTTGGGGGAATTTCAAATGAACTTTCCCAAAGGAAAGTTCACATGCATATACTTTGACTACCTTGGTCAGCCAACACCAAAGCACCTGCCTCCAGAGCATAATCTCCTGTTCCAGAGTCTCTGGACAGACTCACTGTTAGTCCTTCGGAGGTAAACACAAGATGTTACATTTTGGAACTAGAATATATCTAAACATAGTCAAAAGAACATAGAGTGTATAAAAAAGATGCAATCATAATTTAAAAAACCCCAACAAAGCACACCCTCTTTCAAGTATAAGGACAGAGAGGCTTACCTGTGGTGCTGGTGCTGTTGCCGCATACATAGATTCCCCTTGGAGCCACATTACACACTGCCTGTTGGAGGAGGAACATAAAGCAAAAGAATATGAACAGTTAAATCGTCTCAATCGGTACTGTCACAAAAGGGTCAGGCCTGTCACAGTAAAACTTTCACTGGATGATGAATTGTCCCAGAAATTAATGCAATAAACATTTTGTTGTTTTGAGATCATTCATAAAGGCGCAGTATTTTGTGTATTCCAGTCACATAGTACCATTTATAGCACAATCAAGTAACTATGTTAACTTGTTACAAAGGTGCTGAGTATATGTTTATTTAATTTTAAAGGCATCACAACATGGCTCCTCTATTAACCCTTTAACAATGTTTTACTCAGAAGTAGATCCTTTAATGAGCTCAGCAGATGCACAGTTCCAGTAGGTGTCTGCTAATTGCTGGTGACTAGTCTGAAGGAGCTGAATGAGCTGGAAGGGCTTCATGCTCGAAGTTGGAACTAGGTCCACGCAAGCGTTGTGCACGGCTGAATGGTTGCCACAGGAAATTCAAGGATTTTTCAAATGTTCATGACCAAAATCAAAGCAGAACTCCAGGTATGTTTTTGATGAAGGAATAAGGGTATGACATGATGCCAAGCTCAAAAAAGTCAATTTTGGATAACACTTCCCCTTCAAGGAATATATTGATAATGACATAATAACGCAAGTTTCTCCTTTTAAAGACCGATAAACTTTAATTTTTTGCACAAAAACACTTCACATAAACACTTAAGATATTTTAAATATCAAAAACTAACTCAACAACCAAAAACAATACATGCAGCGGAAATATAAACCACAAACAGCTGAAACCTTCAATAAAAAGAAATATGAACACAATTACCCTTCAAAAATTATTAATCACCAGAATGAAAGTCACTGAGCTCAATTTAATCTATCATGCAATGCATGATATATTAACTGATATATTGCTCATTGGGACAGCTTCTCTGTATTACCTGTAACATCTGACTCTTCCCCAGTCCAGGGTCTCCCACCACCAGGATGTGAGGATCTCCTCTCACCGGGACGCTGCTCTTGTCTGTGTGTTTCTGTCTGCCTCCAAACAATGCCAAAGCCAGGGCAGCTTTCACCAGCTGCCAACGCACAGGAAAACCAGCATGAACACTGAATATGAGCAGCGTGTCTGATTGCTCTAAGAAATCAGTCTAATTTCAGTCTGAACTCACCAGATGGCCGAAGATGGCAGGACACAAAGAGCTGGAAGAAGTCGGAGAAGTGCATGCATTAAGAGGGTTAAAAATCTGTGCAACTAGACTGCATCCAAACATAAAGGAACAGTTGTCCAAAAAAGTAATTTCCCCCAGAAAGGCATTGATGAAAGATTGAAAAAGGGAAAAAAAATCTCAATGAAGATACAGAGTGCAACCTGCTGCCTGTGCGGCACAATTCTACAATGATTCAGATAAATTACAGACTCTTCCAGATTTAAATTGGAAGACTTCCCAGTCCTGAGTGTAAATTCAGAAGTTTTCAATTCACTGCAGATACATCCATCAATTTTGGCCATCGCAAGAACTCATTTTACTTTAGAATTAATGACATGTTAAACATTTCATCCAGTTCAATTAAACAGATCCAATTATGTCATGTGTTCAACAAAAAGACTTACTAAGTCCAAAAACTAAAAAGCATATCCCTATAATCATTCTATTAGCTCATCTGTGTAATCATATAATATCTAGAAATTATGGCACTGATTTGGTGTGGCATGCCATCATAGTCCAATTCGCTAAACGCAGCAATAAAAACACCTTGAACTTTTTATTTGATTTTCCTCGCTATATTTTTCATACCCGACTGTGAAGATTTACACAAATCATTATTTTGAACCTTTTGATGATTTTACAACAAGAAGCACAAACAGTCAAACATACTGCAGACAGCGATAAACTTACTGCACGATGAGTCGCAGCAGGTTTGGCTGTGACTGGATCTCCTGGATGGCGTAGAGCTCCTTCAGACTGAACTCCTCTCCTCCAGTACGATCTTCCCTCGATCCTCCTGACCCTTCACTTCCACATTTGGACAGCTGACCTGAATATACAGCTCATATTAACTTTGTCCTGAACTCTTAGAGTTCAAAAACATGCCTGCCAGTACCTTTGGTGTTGCAGACTGAAGTAGCTTCGATGTAGAGGAGAAACATGCACTGATCTTTATTTCCTCTAGAGCTGCCTGCAGTCAGAAAGCAGATGTTTGAACTATGTGATGAAGACATCTGATTGGACGGGAGGTATCTTTAGTCTTATTTGTCACTGCTGAGGGAACATCGGTTACCATGACCAAATATTAATATGTATGTCCGCACCATCATTGATGACTCTGACTATTCCCGTAACGGTGACTGCGTCTCCTGGGACGCAGCTGTCGCAAAGGTCAGAGGTCAGGTGACACTCCACGGTGCGAGGGATCCGTCCTGTCTCCCTCTGCTCGCCACCCATCAACTCCTGCACCCTGAGCAGGCGAGAGAAACACGTTTCACAGAGTTCAACAAACACTTTTTTCACTTTTGATCTGCCTTTCATAATCTTTTTCCTTTCATATGGAGGTAATATGGCCTCTAGGGGTGTCAAACTCCAGTCCTCAAGGGCCACTGTCCTGCAGTTTTTAGATGTGCCACAGGTACAAAACACTGGAATGAAATGGCTTAATTACCTCCTCCTTGTTCTCCAGAGCCTTGCTAAAACCTAATTATTCTATTCTAAAAGTTGCAGGACACCGGCCCTTGAGGACTGGAGTTTGACACCCCTGCTCTAAACAGTTTTTAAAATTTTTATTAAGTTTTTTTTAAATAATATTTGTGCTACAAAAGCCTTGCACAATCTATTTCCTAGTAAATTACAGACACATAACAAAAATCTAAAATTGAAAAAAGATTTATGTCACAAAACTGTAGAACTTGCAATATCTGAAGACCACATTTTCTGAAAGCAGCAGCATGTAAAAATAAATAAATAATCCTTCATAACCCCATAAATCTAACTGCACAACGTCCCAAGCTTGAATTTACGGCAGCTCTTATATTCTCTGTAGGCCAAAGCCAAAAGCTTTCATCTCTATTATGCCCTTACTTGATGGTTTGCCAGTCTACTGTCTTTGTGGAGGGAGAACTTCGAAGAGGGATGAAGGAACGAGTACGACATCCAGGCTGGATACACTACGTGATAAAGCAAACAAAACTGTGTGATTTGTTTTAGTGACCAGATAGGGAATATATTTATATACATAGAATGATCTTTGTGGGCCAAAAGGCCTTTTTTCAGAGGAATGCTGTCATGATAAAAATTGCTTAGTGCTTTAAATAACATAAAATAGGTAAAAAAACAATGTTGGGTACATTTTCACTAATCTGAAATTAGCAGAGCTAATTTTTCATTTTAATGCATTAGCATATTTCCTGACTATGAAAACAGTAAGAGCACTTCCTCTAAATTAAAATTTCCAGATAAATGAATGTAGGTTTGAAAACTGTCATCTACATTTAGTTTGACACCTGTTTTGAAGTTTTGATTATCGACTGCTAAGAATTCTTCAATGAGTTAAGCTTAGTGCCAATTCTTTAACAGTGAAGCATTTTTGTTTAGCGCATTCGTGGCTTTGCTAACTTTGAAAACGTTTAGCACACTTGGCTTCCCCTAATTTAATTTTTCCAGATAAAGCAGCATTGTTTTGTGAATAAATTTTGACATCTGTGTTGAAGTTTTAGTTATTGACTGTTACGAATACTTCACACAGACAGCCGTGGTAGATATTAACGTAGTTGAATTTAGCAGTTTAGCATTAGCTTCAGCTAAATAGCATGCTGGAAAAGAGCTTTAGCATTTAACTAATGTTCATGACTAGTGCTTTGGGTTTTAGCCCAAGTAATGTTGTAGCCAGCAGTAAATTAGCTAGCAAAGGTTTATTAGCAACTAGCTAGCAAAGATTTATTAGCAACTGGTGGTAGTCTCAACTGTCTCGAGTCACACAACATACTGAAGATGTCTGCGTGTAACTCAAATCTTTGCCTGACAAAAAAATAAACTACATATAACATACAAGATTAAATAGTCCTGGCACCACAAAATGTAGAACCTGTAATTGACTTATTTAAGGCCATTACTTTCTACTTTCAATTTAAGACATTTTAAGACCTTAATGTTAGATCTGTGCATTCAAGACTTTTTAAGGACACCCTGCATTGAACTATGTCAACATGCATTGAACTATGTCAACATTTAAAGTTTGTCACCAAATTTGTGAAACCAACCCAGATCACTTTGAAGTGTGTGTTCAAACCTTCGTGGGTGTTGCATATTTCCCATGCTGCAGTGGTAGGGTCAGAGTGCTGGCGCAGGTCTGGCACTTGAACGCCATCCTGGTACACTGAGGTCTGATGCTGCTCACCCGGACCACGGTTCCTCTCACACACACCATCCGGCCGAACACGCTGGCCCGCAGAGTCCGCAGTGGAGTCAGCGGCTCATAGTTATACAGCCTGCGAAGGAGAACCTACGGCTCAGCTGGGACAGTGAAAGAACTTCATGCTCTGTACGGCGGACGGTACCTCACACTGATATGAGGAATATTGATGATTGGTGTAGCAACAGGAAGTTCCTCGTCTTGGAGCTCTGCAGCTTGTTTTTCCAAATCTGCAGTCAACACCTAAAGCACACACACTCTTCAGCTGGAAATGTAACACCAAGCAAACTAACTTCACAAATTAAAATAGATTTATGGTAAGAATGGCTTTTTTGTGTTTACCTGATGAATGGCCACACCCAAACAGTTCAGTATCACGTCTGGCTGTTCCCGCAGGTCTGTCACAATGTCAGGGAGAGCTTCACACACGGCTTTGTTCCCAGTTAAATCTGTGTAATCCACCAGCACGCTGCCCTGACGCTCAATCTCATCCTACAGAAAAACACAACTGTTCTCTTTTACTCACCTTTAACTGAGAAAACACAAAACATACCAACACAGTACTGACTTTATTATACAGATGAATCTGTGATATGAAATACTTCTCAAAGACTTTGATCTTCTCCACACTGGGTGAGCTCTCTATGAAACCTTAACAGGAAAAAATGAAAATGTTATCAAAATAAGTACATTTTACTTTTGTTGTGTACAGCCAGGCTTTACTTAATTTCTGCCAGGCTAAACTTTGTTTGCTAAATAATTTTAAATATGTTTTTTGATACACCAGTGACAGTGAAAACAAACAAGGGTTAAAGAGCATTTTTGGTGACACTGCAGAAAACGTTGAACACACAGAGATTAAAATTAAAACATTACACAAACACAGAAAAATGTCTTCTTCTGTAACTGAACAAATTATAAAATTAGGCCGATGTAAGGCTTCTCATACCTTACAAAATGCAAAAATAATTAACATCCAAAACATTAAAATTTTACCAAGTTATGTTAAAATATGAGGCTACATATGTCCAATAGTGACATGTGTATTGTCACTATTGACAATACATATGTATTGACAATACCACTACATATGTATTGTGAATATATGACAATACATATGAACTTACCGTCTGTGAAATACAGAGCCCAGCCTTTGTATGGACACAGTCCATCAAGAGTAGTCTGGATTGGGGCTGAGTGGACAACAGTAAAGCAGTCTGGATGAAGCTGAAAGAACTTTTGATTTGTTATAAACTAATAAAAATGGTGACATGAATTTTTTGGAGGTGATTTGAAATAAATGAAGCTACATTCTTGCTAGATACAGAAATAATAATGGAGCTCACCTCTCTGGGAGCTTAAAGCTGGATTTCCACTAACACCATCTCCTCGGCTCCCTCCACCTCCTGCTGCTGCTGACCCTCCTCTCCACGGCCTCCTCCATCCTCCCTGTCCTCTCCATCCACTGCTTCCTCTTCCTCTCCACCCATTCCCACCTCCTCCTCTCCAACCATTCCCACCTCCTCCTCTCCCTCCACTGCTTCCTCCTCCTCTCCATCCCTTGTTCCCACCTCTCCATGAGCCTCGAGGTGTTCCTTCTGTATTCATAGTTTTGGGGGGAAGGGAAAGTCTAAAAAATTGAGAGTCAGAAGCACAGATTTAACTTTTTAAAATCCTTAGTTAAATGAAAACACAGCTGCTGCGTATACAAACGAGTCACTGTGAAAAGGAGATTGTACATCTAGCACAGGATTTATCACTGCAGTCTTCCAAGAGAAATAAGCCATGGCCACCACTTCCATCACTGGATAGAATCAATGAATAAAGCAGGTAGCCAACATAGTTATTTTTAACTACAAACACTGGCTCTTCATGGCGTCTCCCAGCTCTGATGGCTTTTATTTAGCGGTTGCCAGACATGATGAAAATGGGTAATAACAGAGAGACATGCGGCTCAGGTCATCTGTCCGGAATTCGAACCTTTGACGGCCGCGGGTCGTACGGTGGACACCTGCGCCACCGCGCGCGGTACCCACATAAAACCTTATTTTTCAGTTGTTTTCGGTTACAGAGATTGCTTACATAATCTTGTTATTACTTTACATAATAATAGAAAATCTAAGAAAACTATATAAGGTCATACGTACCTTTCGTTCTGGGTCGATAAGATACTAGAACTATTCTGTAACTAGACCAGTCGACTAAATATCACTTTTCCCAAAACGCGTCGATAATTTCTGTGCTAACAAAAGTGTCAAAATTCCCTCCACTGACAACAAGCTTCTTCTGCCGCTGCTTACAACACCACAGGGTGCGAGGTGCTATACTGCCCCCTGAAGGACACTGCAATAACTACATAAATATAGATTCAATGCTCCTCTCTCTCTCTCACTCTCTCTCTCTCTCTCTCTCTCTTTCTCTCTCTCTGTTTTTTTCTAAAACAAACACCCAAGTGTAATTATGCACAAGAGCCAATTTCTGGGCCCAGACATAGACATTTTCAGCTGTGAAAAAAGAAAAACATCCAGGCAGACCAACTGGCCTCAAAGCAATCTGATCTAAAATACAAAATAGGCAGTAAAACAAAAGTAAAAATGAACATAGACAATAGTTTGTAAACAGCATTTAAGAAAACTAATGAAAATTCACACAGAAAAAACAAAATATAGAAATGCTATTTCTCAAAAACTGATGAAAACTTGAGTCAAATTATAGGAAGGTTTGAGTTCAGTTCTTTATTTTCTACTAGCACAATCATATTGCCAACAGCTAATTTGACATGTTTTGTTATTACTTCAGTTGCATGCTTTTTGATAAAACTATCGTGTCTTCGACAAAAATAAATTGTAGTAATGTACTGAAATACGTTTAAGATTAAGAACAAAAAGGTTTAAAGAGCGACTAGAGAAAGATAAGAAATCTAAATTAGTTATCTAGCTCCATCTTCTGGACATTTTTATAACGACATTCAAGTAAGTATTGAAAGAGCTGCACTATTTATCAATTTTGAAGTACATTAGTAAAAATACCAGTCATCATCATCATCATCAAATTTTATTTGTACAGCACATTTCAGCTACAAGGCATTTCAAAGTGCTTTACATCATAAACACAAAACACAAAGGCATGCAACATAGAATAAAATACCAAGGGTTTTTTTTTTGTTTTTTTCCCCCTTTTCCTTTCCTTTCTTCCCCCTTCCCTTTGTCACGGAATTTAAGCGCCTGTTACCGCTTACATATTGTGAGGAGAACACCCCGACATTTTCACAACAGCTGATTTGTTTCTCCCCATTCTTTTTTGTAAAATAGATCTAATGCTCACCTGCAATTTTCAGACCTTACCATTGATTCCCAACAGTATTTAGATCTGGACTTTGACTGGGCCATTCTGACATATAAATGTGCTTGATAGGATTTTGTTGATTAATGAGTTCTATTGAGTTTGGCAGGAATATATGTGAATTTCTTCTTAATTTAACTTCAACAAAAGAAAACTGACAAATGTTCTCAATTGTGTGTTTTGATGTGGTGGAGAAAGACAATGAACAGAGAGGAAAAATCAATAGTTGAACTACTGTGCCCTGCAGTAGTTAGTAGTAATAGTCCAGGATGCACACACTCAGGAAAAGGGAGACAGGCGATGAACTGTGTTGTGGCAGGTTGCCGCAAAGGCCAGAATCAACTTTTGCAGTAGAAGCAGGCAAAGAAATTAAAAGAAAAGTGTTGTGCACCTAAATTCATCCCCAGGTGTTATCACTCTGCCATGATGAAAAATAAAAACACCTCTGTTTGTGTGTGTGTGTGTGTGTGTGTGTGTGTGTGGTGTGTACGTGTGTGTGTGTGTGTGTGTGTGCGTACGTGTGTGTGTTTGTGTGTGTGGTGTGTGTGTGTGTGTGTGGGTGTGTGTGTGTGTGTTGTGTGTGTGCATCTTGTCGGTGTTTCCAGGAGAGTAATCGTGGAAGTGGAGGTGCTTGGCGGGAGCTGAGGGGCTAACAATCATGGCCAAGAGATGGATGTGGAGAACATGGAGAGGTGCAAACTCTCAGCGAGGCATTTAGTGGCTACGTGATCAATCAGGAGCGGGTCGATGCGATCCAAAGCAGTTTAGCAAACAAGAGGATTTCATTTTTCAACTGTTTGTTGTTGAGCAAGACCTCAAGGCTTTGAAGTCCGATAAGTGTATCACTGCTGCTGACATGACAAGAGTATTGATATGTCTTGAAAGAGTCTGAGTGTAAGAGGTGAATGATGCCATTCAGTGTGTGTGTGCGTGCGTGTGTGTGTGCCATGTATTTTTAGTCCCCACTGCTCCTTGTGGGGACTAAAGCCTGGCATCCACAAGTTATATACATTATTTATATACTTAGTTATATACTTTTCCTGTGTGTGGTTTCAGTTAGGTTAACGCTGATATTTATTAAGAATAATATAAAGAACTGGACAAACCTTTGCATCTTTATGCATCAAGTGACCACAGTGGTTATTTGTGACCTTTTGTTTTCATAAACCTTAAATGTATTTTTAAGAATGATTTTAACATTTCTGATGTCGATTTACTTTTGTTCTTCTTTCACTGTCATTGTAGCACAAACCTTTGCAGGATGTTTCATGAAGTTTATTTTTTCTTCATAAATTCACAGAATTTCTTACTGTGTGAAAATATCTCCTCAGTTCATACAAGCTGGTTCCTCTCAGGAAGCACAAAGGCCCTGTGATCAGTTGTGATTCTCGGAGCAGCCCAGCCCGGTGTGTGTAGGTGGTGGGCCGTCGTCACTTTGCTGCAAAAGAAAATTGAACTGCCAAACTGTCATGGTATTGCTCTGCAGAAAGTAGTGGATGTGGACATTCATTGAAACAACACCTAGTGTTTTAAAAAATATTGCTGCCTTTCAGATGTCTTCTGTTTTTGCCTTTTTGTCATTCATAAAATATATTGAGTAAATACAAAAAGCAAGTTTCAAATAATGACTCCATTTACTGAGGGATGAAAAAAAGCTATCAAACCTACCTGATCCTTTGTGAAAAAGTAATTGCCCTTAAACCTCAATCCTGACAACAGCTACCAGCAGTAGCTTGTGAAAAGTGGTAATGAGTCTTATTTTGCTGAGAACAAAATAAATTTAAAAAAAGTTGTTGACTTGAATAGCGGGAAAAAAATAAAGAGAAGAGCAACTGAGAACATCCTGGATATCTCACGAATAGCAGCAGGAATAATGATTTTATCACCATAAAAGAAGCAAGATTTCAAAGCTGAATCTTCCAGGCCAAATAGGTGGGTTCATCAAACACTGCCTTTAGTAAATCCACTCCACCACACACACCCAAAATTAGATGTGACATAATAAGTAAACAAACACACCCACCACAAACGACATTGAAGCAGAAATCCAGCCCACATTCTGGGTCTGGGAGAAACTGCTTTGGCTATGTGCTGCCAAGTGCTACTGACATTTCTGCCTTTAACACAGGCCAGCAGACTATAATTACAGACCAGGGCTTTTCAGCGGTTATCTGAAGGTAACATATGCATAAAGACACCAGCAGTATGTCTGACACAGAAACTAAAACCTGCCACTTAGAGTCTTTCTGCCAGCAGCAAGTCTTTACTCCAGTCCAATTTGGTGGCAATGTCAAGGACTTTCTTTTCTTTCTTTTTGGCGCTTCTTCAATTTGTGTTCAAATTACTCTGATGACAGCTTTGTTCTCTGCTTTTCTTTCAATTCCAGTATTAAAAAAAGGGTTTATCACAGTCATCTCGGCTTTTCCACTAAGGACGGAGAAAAGAGCAATTGAGGACCTTGACACTCATCCCGTCTCTTTCTGACTGCTGTCTGCTATTTTTTTTCAGCAGAATTAAATGCCGAAGAAGATTAGTTTATATTTTTTCTATTTTTTCTACACTTCTTTGAATTATCATCCATACATTTTGTACAGCGTAAGGCGGGCTGGGTCCAAGGGACAGCAGTCTGAGTAAAAATCCTTCTCCTCAGTTATCTCCAAGCATGCAGCCTGGTAATTCAAAGCTGTCTGCAAGGTACAGTGTGTCAAGCAAGTCTTTTATCTGTTCAGATGTTTCTTTCTAGAAGAACAGATCTAAAACAGTTCTCTTGAGATACATCAGGAAGGCTTCCTCAAATTCTCAAACTGTCAATGTGAATGACTAGAGTCTTACTTTCTCAAAAATAGCTGAGCTTCCAAGTTTGTCACTCAGCAAATCATTCAGCTTCTCAAGGAATCTTTTTTTAACCTTTGCAAATTCAGTCCTTTTGTGATTATCTATATCTTAAACTGTTAGAGGAGAGTTGGATTACAGCCAAATCTGTTCTGATGCCTTCCAATCATTGGAAGGCATCAGAACAGATTTGGTTGTACATTGTGCTCCCAGTTTGTCTGGCCGTCCTGCTTTTTAGGGTCAGAGTCCATCAGAAACTGAAATTAACATACATAGTTACTTGCTATAAAATGACACAATGTGCCTGGAAAACACAAAATACTGCCCAGTTAACACCACAGTGTTATTGGGAACCTGAGGTAATTTTGTGAAACATACTTAAAGTAACAGCAAAAAAGAAAGTGAAAGTGTCATTTGAAGAGTTTTCTCTTTTGCAATCATTTAAAATTTTTCCAATTTCACACTTATTTCTAAGTAAAAGGGGCAAAGTAATAAGTAAATTAATTACATATTAATTAATTTGGTCTGTAAATTAATAGACCGAAAATCAAATAATTGTATTTGTGTCAATGTGAGGTCCATTTTTCTAACATGAACTACGTTTTGGGGACCTACTTCCCCTTGTGGGGAGCACAAGAAAAAATGCTGTGTTAGTGTCAGAGGTCAGGTTCAGGACCAAGATGTGAATGGAGTTTAAATGAGGCTTGAGGTGAAAGTCGGGGTGAGGCCATATGAATGAATGAATGCAAGTCAATGCAAAGTCCCTGTGAAGATAGAAAGAAATGCTGTGTGTGTGTGTGTGTGTGTGTGCATGTGTGTGTGTGTGTGTGTGTGTGTGCGCGTGCGTGTGTGTGTGTGTGTGTGTGTGTGTGTGCATGTGTGTGGGTGTGCGTGTGCGTGCGTGTGTGTGTGTGTGTGTGTGTGTGTGTGTGTGTGTGCGTGCGTGTGTGGGTGTGTGTGTGTGTGTGTGTGTGTGTGTGTGTGCATGTGTGTGTGTGCGTGTGCGTGCGTGTGTGTGTGTGTGTGTGTGTGTGGGTGTGTGTGTGTGTGTGTGTGTGTGTGTGTGTGTGTGTGTGGTGTGTGTGTGTGTGTGTGTTATGGTTTATG